GACTCTACACAAAGGCCCGAACATTAGAGTTAAATGGTTTAAAATAATACTAGTTGGCACTTCTGTAGCAAGCCAAGGGCATTCAGATTTCAATGTTTTTTTTTAAAGATTTTATTTATTTATTTTTAGAGAGGGAAAGGAGGGAGGGAGAGAGAGAGAGAGAGAGAGAGAGAGAGAGAGAGAGAGAGAGAGAGACATCAATGTGTGGTTGCTGGGGGTTCTGGCCTGCAACCCAGGAATGTACCCTGGCTGGGAATTGAACCTGGGACACTTTGGTTCCCAGCCCGCGCTCAATCCACTGAGCTATGCCAGCCAGGGCTTCAGTGGTTTTTTAAGAAGATACTCCTTAAGCAAAACTTCAGCTGTATTAATCTTCCAATTTTTGAGAAGCAATCATTCCCTATAACTATTATTGCTTATTCTAACCTACTAGATTAGTCTAAATTCTGAAAACATCTGCATGATCATATGAGAGTGAATTTCTCCAAGTCTGCTTCTAATTACTCTAATTTAGAGTTGTTCTGGTAGATTTATTTGGCTGCTTATATCGTGTACAGTATTTCCAGAGCTTTCAAATAGGGATTACTATTTTTTTCTCAAACACACAAAGACTTGAAAATATTAGCTCTTTATTAACTGGGGAGAATGGAGGTATGGATAAATGATATTCACAAATACTCCAAGTGCCTCTTTTCAGTCATTAAATTACTGCTTAATTCTTCCCTTTTAGTTATGTCCTAACAATTCTTTATTTCCACAAAGGATGCCTTGATTCTCTCATTCACTCAAGTATGAAAGCTTGCAAACATCTTGATCTGCTATTATTTAATTTTTAAGAAACTTTATTCTAAATGGAATTATTTATTTTAAATGTTGTAATTGGACAGGCCTGACTCCCTGTATTTGATGAGAAAGGCAGAGCCAGGGCGCGTGTCAGGGGTGGAGGTGAGGTGCATGCATGGTCTGAGTTGCTTGGGCCTGGAAGCCAACTGCCCTGTTTAAAATCCTAGCTCCAAAGAACTTAACATGTATGACACACGGACATGAACTAAAGGTGGGAAATGTGGGTGGGAGGGTGTGCAGGGTGGAGGGGAGTGAAGGTGGCAGAATGGGACAACTGTAATGGCATAATCAATAAAATATATATTTTTTAAAAATCCTAGCTCCACTGGGCTATCTGCTCCTCTATCTTTGCCACAGTCATTATCTGCTTGTGCTATCAAATCATGACAACATCTATCAATTAGAATCAGTCATTAGATAAATTCTTCCATGGAAGGATCAGTAGGACCAGGTGAGATTGAAGGAAAGGCTTGACAATGGGAAGGTAATCATATCCAAATTATGCCATATGAATTTTCAGGTTACTGAACCACAAGGATTTATCAAGTGAGTTGAATAACCATTAAAATCAACTGTATTTTGCTACAATTGTACCAAATTTCCTTCCTTCCTTCCTTCACTCTCTTTCTCCCTCCCTCTGCCTCCCCTCCCTCTTCCCTTGTAGCCTTTCTTTTTAAATAAGAGACTAAAAATTATTTTTTTAAAAAGCAATACATAAATGTCTATTTCTCAGCATTGGTGCCCTGGATCAATCCACTGGAAACTGGAATTATCACAAGAAAGCATGTTCTTTCAAGAGCCCATTTTCCAAACAAAATAAGTATGAGTTTAGTAGTGGGTGAAATAAGAAATATTTCAGATTCTTTGAAGACATCTCAAAATTATTTCTCAAAAATTTGGTTTTGGCAATATCTTCTACATGCCTTTTTCCCAAGAATTTCTTCCTTCAGAACTGTGGAATGGATATATGAAGGGAAATTTAATTTTTTTCTTAGTCTACATTTCCTAAACAAGGTCATATGAAAGGTAATTTTGAGGACTTACAAACATTTTTAAAGGTCTTTCTTTTTAGTCCAATTTAGATAAAAATAAACACTACAAGAATACATATTTTGGCCAAGAAGTACATGAAAAAGTGCTCAATACCTTAGTACACAAGAAATGCATATCAAAATGGTAACGAGACATAACTACACTAGAGTAATTAAGGTGAAAAGTACTAATAACATGAAGTGCTGGTGAGAATGTGGACAACCTGAACTCTTTATATCTTGCTTTTGGGAATATAAATGGGAAAGTTAAGTTAGGCAAAAACAAAAAACAAGAGATGTTAAATATACATTTTTCCTGAGAACCAGGAGTTCTACTTCTGGGTGTGTAAGAGAAATTAAAAGCTATATCTACAAAATTGTTATACAAAAATGTTTATAAAATTATATTATGAATATAATAACAAAACACAACATAATTCAGGTGTCCATCTGCAAGAGAATGGATAAATGAATTCTGGAATATTCTGATAATGGAATATTACTCAGGAATAGAAAAATAATAGACTATTGATACATGTAATGTCATAAATGAATGTCAAAAATATGCTGAATGAAAGCAAATAGACACAAAAAGAGAACATACTGTATTATTCCATTTTTTTGTAGAATTCTAGAGTAGGCAAAAGTAAGCTATGGTGATAAAAATCAAATCAGTGATTGCTTCTTGAGGAAGGTACTTTCTGGGATGATGGAAATGTACCATTTCACAATGAGATATCACTTCACAGCAATCAGAATGGCCATCATTAACAGATCAATAAACAAGTGCTGGCAAGGCTGTGGAGAAAAGGGAACCCTAGTACACCATTGGTGGGAATGCAAACTGGTGTAGTCATTGTGGAAAACAGTATGGAATTTCCTCAGAAAACTAAAAATGGAACTGCCTTTTGACCCAGCAATTCCACCTCTGTGATTATACCCTAAGAATCCTTAAACACCAATTCAAAAGAACCTATGCACCCCAATGATCATAGCAGAATTATTTACAATAACCAAGTGCTAGAAGCAACCTAAGTGCCCATCAGTAAATGAGTGGATCAAAAAACTGCAGCATATTTATACAATGGAATTCTATGCAGCAGAAAGAAAGAAGGAGCTCCTACCCTTCACGACAGCATGGATGGAACTGGAGAGCATTAGCTGAGTGAAATAAGCCAGGCAGTGAAAGACAAATATCATACAATCTCACCTATAAGTAGAACCTAATCAATAAAACAAACAAGCAAGTAAAATATAACCAGAAGCATTGAAATTAAGAACAAACTGACAGTAACCAGAGGGCAAGTGGGAGGGGATATTGGGGGAACGAGGGGGAAGTGTTGTCAAGGAACATGTATAAAGGACACATAGACAAAGCCAAAGGGGAGTAGGATCTGGGGTGGGAGGTGGGGATGGCTGGGGTTGGGGGAGTAGTGGGAAACGGTGACAACTGTACTTGAACAACAATAAAAAAGAAAGAAAGCATTCAGAAAAAAATTTTAAAAAGCTTCAATGATCCCTTATGAGGGGAAGAGAGAAAGGAAAGAAGGGGTTGATTGTTTTAACTGGGTTTGATTTTCACATAGGCTCCTGATTTGTTATCCAATAACTGTATTCCTCTAGTGTGCACATATTTGTTATTTAACAATTATTATAATATCTTCCTTTTAAAAAGTCATCTTTCATTCTTACAGAAGAAACTTCAAGCATAGAATGCATTTTACATTTAAATAAAATCTTTTGATAGTAAAAAATGTACTATTTCTTGATGGGATGTAGAGTACATAAATACATGCAATTTTTGTAACTGTACAACTAAGATCAATGCATCTCACTAGGTTTATTATACTAAATAACAACTTTTTTATTTAAAAAAGGGAATGAAACAACCTCTAAAATTTGAAAATCACTGAGTATTTTTTAAATTTAAAAACAATTTAAAATAAAAAAAAAACTAAATACTTTGGCTGACTAACCTATTTAGCTTATGGTTCAGCATTTAGCCTGGTGCCCAGCACATGGACAGGTCCACACACGTGTTGGGTGGCTGAGTGGCAGAAACTGAAAAATATACTTAGATTTTTCTTACTCTGTTTTTTTAAAATTTTATTTATTTATGTTTGGAGAGGGAAGGGAGGGAGATAGAGAGAGAGAGAGAGAAACATCAATGTGCGGTTGCTGGGGGCTATGGCCTGTAACCCAGGAATGTACACTGGCTGGGAATCGAACCTGCGACACTTTGGTTCGCAAGCCCACGCTCAATCCACTGAGCTACGCCAGCCAGGGCTGAGATTTTTCTTACTCTGTTTTGTCAAAGAAATGATAGCCTCATTTCCCACTCTGTGCTTTTCCTCTGCTTCCATGTCTTCCTGTGTGTGTACCTCCAGGTTTTCTAAGCCAGTGATTCTCAAACTTAGTGCTCACCTGAATCACTGGGAGGGCTGCTGAAATACAGACAACTGAGCCCCACACTTGGAATTTCCAATTTAGAAACTCTAGAGGGAGACCTCCCAAAATTTCCATTTCTGACAAGTTCCCAGGTGATGTTGATACTAGTGCTGCTTGGCTTAGGAACCACACTTTGAGAACTACTGCTTCTAGTCCTGCTTTAATTGCCAGATCAACGATCCATTCTTTTCCAGTCCAAGATCAGCCTTTCCAACTTTTTTTTTAAATTTTATTTTAATCATTGTTCAAGTACAGTTTTCTGTCCTTTACTCCCATCCCAGCTCACCCACCCATCCTTTCCCACCTCCCTCCCATTTCCAAGCCTTTCCAACTTTTAACAGTCTTCCCTAGTTACCCTCAGTCTAATCCTCTGAACTTTTAATATACTTCTCACTGAACCTCCCTGTTTGCTATCTGGTTTATTCTCCCTGGTAGTTTATTCTTTGTTAAGCAAAAACTACTTGCATGTGTTTCCATTTGGTGGGTGATAACTCCCTTTAAGAGTAAGCAGGTCATTTCATTCCCATATACCCAGACTAGGCTGGAGAGCTAAGAGGTGACCTGTAAATGCCGATGCTCCTGGTATTAATACGTTCTTCTGAAACAGGTACAAGTACTATGAAAAAGAAAGCACTAGTTTTTAGGTGAACAATAAAGTCTTCCGTTATAATGAATTACCTGTCATTGGGACAGTTACTCGGCAATGTCCAGTCATGGTGTGGGTTAATGAGGAAACCCCAGGACAGGAAGACAGAGCTTGGTGTCAGAGTGCCAACCACCAGCTGGAGAGGTTTGCGAGAGCGTCTTTTGCCTATGGAAGTAACATACAGGTTAATTATGGTAATATTTGGTGTACTTTCATGATAGGGGTAAAATGCATAAAGATGACCTAAGTAGTAAGATAATGAAGAATTTGAAAGTAGCAAGTTCTTTTTCTTTTCATATAATGCACAATTATTATTAATTCTCTGACAATGAATTTAAGCATGAATCGAATGAAATATTTCTTTCTGGTATGTATGTGTGTATATATGTATATATGTGTATATATGTATATATTCATATATGGTAATATATGCTTATAAACTATATCCAATTATATCTAATTTTTATTTTCTTGTGAGTCAGAGATGAATATGGAGGTCTCGGCTATTACCAGTGAAGTAAATAAACACACACATTTCCATATACATATACATACAGTATTACATATACATATATGTGTGAATGTATATACACACACTCACTTCATGTCTTTTACAGAAAAAAACATGTAAATTTTTTCCCTAGGACTTTGATTTAGTATGAAATAACATCTAAGAAGAGAAAAGAAAGCTTATCATTTAGGTTGTATGTTATATTGTTTTTAAAACCTTTTTAGAAGTACAAAGTGCCCATAATACTATTGGAATAAGAATATTTTTACAGTGAGTATCTAGTAGAAAATGTGCATACATTTTTAATGATGCTGGAAGAGTAGAAATCATGCAGGAAGCAGTCACTCTGATGTGACTAAGTAGATTTGGGCAGGGCCTAGAGTGATGCTGGTAAAGTACTGTAGATTCTTTTTAAGTATATAAGGGACAGATATTTGCATTTTCAAAAATATCTGAAACTACAAGAATGGAAACAGTAAAAAAGAGCAGGGAAGATCCCCAGCCATGGAACTCAACACTGGTTCACAAAAAATCAAAGTGAATAAAATAAAAGTCCAATAGCAGACCTAATAAAACTACACAGAGCTAAAAGAATACATATAGAATTTGTATTCCCATTGGAGTTAGCTTTCCTTTCATGAAACTATATTTGTTGTATTTGCTATATGATAGACTTGTGTTATCTTAATCTAATGCAGTATAAACCAGGGAGTAAGAAGGAACCCATTGCATGAGCTTAGTGGAAATTATCTAAACAAAAACCCTTGAAAATTGTGTCATACTGTTACTTCTACTAGATTTAATGTCTGCAAATTGTTAGTCTAGTGAAAAGCTTTCTGAGTCCAGAAAATACATGACAAATGATATTTGTCTACTGATAACAAATTGCCTCACTGTAACATAGCTGAATTTTAAAAATATATTTTAAATAATTTCCAGTGATACTTATTGTTTACTTGGTTGCAATTGCATTTATACTTCTCTGTACATTTTTCCAGATCCATCCATCATAGTGTCTAGCGTGATTGTTATTCAAAGGGTCCAAGTCTGGCCCTCAAGGGGAGAAGATTAGAATCTGTCATGAGGGTAGAGAACGCAGGTAGTTTGAAAAAGTCCTGAGATATCTATGCCTTTCCCCACCACCCCTCCAGTTGATTTCCACTAACGTCATCTTATTTTACAGATGAATATTGATAGGCCCAGAGAAATTTCAAGGGTGGCCAAGATCACACCAAAAACAAGGTCAAGAATTAAATCTAGCTCTGCTGCATTTTTATCTAATTTTCTTTTTACTACATTATTGCTTTAACTCACAATGTATGAATTACATATTTTTCAGACAATAAAATGCACTCCCCCCCAAATCTGGGAGAAAAGGGGGTACGTCTTATAATCTGAATGTAGCTTACCTGGCTTGCTGTGGGGGAGCAGTGGTAGAGTGGGGTCACAGGAGGCAGGAGCAGGGTTACCACTGCATTTTCCTCCAAAATTTAGGGGGGAAAGTATGTCTTATAGTCCAAAAAATATGGTAGATGCCACTTAGAGACCAAAGATACATTTTTCTTTTACTAAGGGAGCCTAAGGCTTACATGACCATCAAATGATTATTTCACTAAGTTTCTATGTTAATGTAAAATGGTTAAATAATTAAAATTTATGTGGTAGATACACATATAAAACAAATAGAAGCAAATCCACTAGTCATTTTATCATTTTCAAGTGCAGATTACGAAAACAAAAATTATATCTGTTGCCTGAAAGGAAAGGTGGGGTATTATATCCTGAGCAAGATGAAATAATTTCCTGAACTAGTCACACAAAGTGAAAAATAACTTCTAAGGCCAATGTCATAGAAGCCCCCAAATGAAAAGAAATGAAGTGATAAGGGGCTACTAATGTGCAATCACTCTCTTGATTTTGGTCTTCCTTATGTATTTTTGTATATTTTACTATGATCATATCTGCATTAAGAAAAAGTTAAATGAGTATGAAGCCAGAATCCCATGGAACCAGACTCATGCTTCTTGATTTTATTTTTTAAGTATTTTGAAATAGAGTCTTGAAATATTGTGAGTACATTTATTTTGAGGTATATGGAAAGCTTCCTGGACAACTATCATTAACAAGTTATAAGGAGTGACTGAAATTTTCCTTGCGCTTTGGGATAATATAAAAGGTCAAGAAAAAAACATAATCTTATTTTCAAAATGCATGACCATTTATTGCTTCTCTTAAAAGAAGTGGAAAACAACAGAAGGAGGGAGGAGAGGACTGTGGCAACTGATTTCTGGTAACCAGGCTTGGCAGGTACATCGAGGAGACAAACACACAGCTGCCGCAGGCCCCTTTGCTGGGGATGAAGATCTGGATGCTCTCCCCACCCATTTCATACCTTAATAAAGATGTAACAAAACAAAACAAAAGATCCTTCTTTTGTGTGTGACATGTAGTGCACTATAAAAGATAAGTATGACGGCAAATAACTATTTTGAGAACAACAGTTCACATTAGAAAACAAGATCAACTCTATCTACATTTAGGAAGGTGTGATATCAGATAGTAAAATCATAGTCTCAGCTCTACTGGTCCTTCTTAGCAGCAGTGGCCAGCTTATTCGATCTGAGAAAAATCTTCAGTAATGAAACCGAGGCAATTTCAAGGAGGATTTTAATCTTCCTTTGAGTCGTGTGAAAATGTCTCTAATTGTTCTTTCATATGTATCCATGTTTCTGTTTCAAGATTTCCTAACCCTGGGAAACTAGGTGTTGTGTTGCTGTTTTATGAAAGGAGTCCTTCCATATTTGACTAAATAGAAAATGTTTAGAAGGGAGAAATCAACAGTAAATAAAACCTAAATTCACATTTCAAGATACAGACAGACGAGCAGGAGCAACCCTCAGTGAGCACTTGCTATGGGCCGGGCCCGTCTAGGTGTGGCATATCCACGAACTCATCTAACTCTCCGAGTGACCCTGATTATGCAGCAGAAAAGAGTCACAGAGAGGTTCAATAATGTGCCCACAGCCCTGCAGCTTGTATGTGGTGGCACTGGGGCAGGGTCCTGAGAAGTCCCTACCACCGGGCTGTGCCACTAATCTGTTAACAGCCCAGAGCCTGCTGTGTCTGTTTCATCTTCTAATCTAGATTCTTAAGGCTTCCCCAAGGCACTGGGTCTCCATGGGTCAGAAAGAGATGAAAAGCCATAAATAAAAAACAAAATGAATGAGAAATACCTGAGCATGACTTCTTTTGACTTGGCACAGGGGCAGGCCGCACCACGATCAGATATTTCGGCTCCGCATCTGGAAATAATAATGACTTTATTTATGAATAAAATTCTTTGAGGAAGAACCTCATTTGCAACAGCAGAGGCAGCCCTGACTCAGTGTTCCCCAGCTTTAGTCACTGTAACCGCAGTGGACGAGCGGACCCAGGAATTTGGAAACTTAATACTTTCTGAATAGTTCAATTTAGTTCAGTTTTTAAAATGAAAATTAAATCCAGGTTTTCGAAACCAAATGTATAGGGGTAGGGGATAGGTCTTAAAAGAATCTTAATAGACATGGTTTTCATGTCAATCCTTTTCTCTGCCAAGAGATTTTTTAAAATTCAGATTGTATTTGCTCTGTTACCTCTTCCCCACAGAGGGTCAGCCAGATGCTAAAATTGGACAAGGAAAATCCTACTTGCTTGAGACACGTGGGTCATGTCACCTGCTGCATGAGCTGAAATTGCTCACTTTTGTGGAAATACAAGTGTTTATAATGACCTATTTTTCATCCTGTTGCATAATTTCTCAGCCAGTTATCATATCGAACCAGCTATTTTTATGAATGATTTTAAAACAAATTCTCAATTTTAGGTTGCTATGATTTTCACCTAAATTATGTCAATAGAAAGTAACTTGTTAGTGAATGTCTTTTTTAAATATTTATGTTTTAAATAAAATGATGTCTAAATAAGCAATATGTGCTAACTCAAGCATGAGCTAATAACTTATCAAATATTTTTTTAAAAGATTTTATTTATTTATTTTTAGAGAGAAGGGAAGGGAAGGAGAAAGAGAGGGAGAGAAACATCAATGTGTGGTTGTCTCTTATGTGCCCCCAAATGAAGACCTGGCCCATAACCCAGCCATGTGCCCTGACTGGGAATCAAACCAGCGACCCTTTGGTTCATGGGCCTGCACTCAATCTACCCAGCTACACCAGCCAGGGCCAAATAATCTTTTTTTAAGTTGATGTTTCCAAGAGGAATGCTTGGTTTAAATATATCTAATAAGACAAATACACTTTGGGCATACTAAATAGTATTTTGTAAGCAGCTCCACTGCACTAATTGATGAGCATTATCTACAATATTTCTTCAGTGACTTTGGATCCTATATCCATTCTACTCCAAGTTTCATCTGGATAGTGCAGTCAACAAAAGTGCACCTCTACTTGCTCAGGTCAATCTCACTGCTTCGTATTGTTGTCATTCTGGGTTCAAACATCTCCCCTCTGTGAGTTTGGAATGACTGCCCAAGGCTTTACGGAGCTGACCATTCTCAATCAAAGGCAACCTGGCAATTCAGCCACACTGAATGACTCCAGCCTTTTTTCCTGGACACTTCCCACAGCCCTGTTTGCTAGAGTCTGCTGGGATAATGACCAGGGCATGAGGTAAACAAGGGAGCTTCCTGAACAGACATCAGAGCCTTGCCCAAGCATCCTATAGTTGCCTCCTGAGCACAACACAGATAAGGGAGCGCTCATTGTGTTTCAGACTCTCATGTGTTTGAAAGCACAGCTTGTTTAGTGAAGCTTATCTCAGAAATGCTTAACCTAAATCAAGTTTCCTAGTAGGAATACAATAACCATTTCCTGATTTTATTTGGGATATGAAGTGATGTAAGTATTAAGAAACTACTATGTATTGAGTACTTTGCATGTGCAGGATACTTGTTAAGCACTTGCCATTCATAACTTAATTACTCCTCCTGGCAGTCTTACCTGACCTACCTAATTAATCATCACCCCATCTGTAGATAAGCCTCTGAGGCAGAGCCAGCTTCATGGGCACGCAGTGTGCACAGTTGCAGAGTCCCAAGCTTCATTTAATAACCTCTTGTCACCATCGTGAAACTCTTAATACTTTTGCTTTTGGCTTTGTGTTTTGCAAGGGAAGTTGGATGGGACAATGGAGTGTGCGTGTGTGCAGAGAAGACAGGAACAATACACACATCTACAGTTTTTCCCACTCACACACTGCACTGGAGGTACCCCCTTAGGCTAGCATTCCAAAGGAGCCATGATTGCCTGGTTGCTCAGCAGGGCTGAAAAGTAGAACAAGGTAAGCATATTATACCTACGGCTGAGTAAGGGGGCCTGGAGGGGGCCACTGATTCAAACCAGAACTTGGTTCAATGCAGAAAGAGGCAATGGCATTTTAAGAAACAAATAACCAAGGAGCCCTATCCTATTCTTTCTTAATTCATGTTAGTCCTTGTATTCCCCAACTACTTATGCTGAAAATGATGTAGGAAGGAGAGTTAGAGCAACCCTAGGTTCTTTCCTTTTCAGTTCTTCCTCATTCATAAGCAAGTTGAAGGCAGAGTATTGGTAGGATGTGCACGTATCAAGGAATGAAATGAAAAATTGAGTTAGTTTTACACATTCCCACTGTTCTGATAAAAACAAAATACATACACATGCATGAACAATAAAACAACTCTGTAACTTCAGTGATCCTGCTTAGGAGTTAAAGGCTCCTACATTTGCACATAAAATTAGCATTGTACAATATAATAATAAATGGTAAAATGCATGCTGATAATAAAAAATTTAATTTTTGCCTACCTAATTGACATTAAGTAGCAAATAAAATAATAGCCTGACCAGTTGAGAGAGACTCTGGAAGAAAGGAAAAAACTTTATATTTTGGTACCTTCAATGACAATTTTTTCCTGCATTTTGAACCAGGAACCCTTCATTTTTGTTTTGCACTCAACCCTGAAAATTATGTTGCTGTCTTTGAACATAGTCCTCAAAAGGATCTTTTACTAAAACTCTGGATAAAGCTAATTCTTTATTTTTCTTTTTTAATGTGTCTTATATGGTTTTCTTTTATTGTTTATTCTCTTACAGTTGTCCCCATTTTTCCCTTTCCCTCCTTCCCGCACCTGTTCTCCTTAAACTGTTCTCATGGTGACAAAGGCTCTTAGAGCTAGCCTTTTATTTCCTTCCTTGATACACATTAATTCAAATCTGCCTGAGTGGTTTTTAAGAAAAGACTTGAAATACTAGAAAAATCACAGACATATGGTTATACAAGCAATTTAAAAGTAATTTTTGTTATGATCACAGTCATTTTGCATAAAGCAAAGGCTGTTACAGGCAATTACAAATTGGAACAGATGTTGGGACCGGGGAGCACATGCTGGCCCTCTCTGCTCATTAAAATTCTCAACATTCATGCATTTCAGCAGTTTTTGCACTTGATTGGTAACACAGGCACGGACAAATAAAACAACTAAAAAAAGAAGATTTCTATTTCTGTTCTGCACTACGAAATTCTTTGTGGATTTGTAGCAACCTGGAAATATATATGGCGGTAGCCTGATCAGAAATGCTGGCAACAAGTGCCAAAATACACAATCTTTTCATCTAAGGAATGTGTTAACTAAAATGTCAGTTTAAGAAAATTTGTGTGGAATGCAGTTGCCTTAACAAACTTTCCATTCCTAATAGTTAAGCCTATTCAATGTTGCAGATTACTTAAATCTAATTTGCTTAATATTTTAAATGCCCTATGGTGGAACATAGAGACAAGTTACTGTTTAAGAAAATCTACTATTGAAATCCTTTATAAGGTATTAGATTTTTGATAATATAAATAACCTTCCCATAATTGCTCAATTTGACAAGTCCCAATTCTCTCATTTTATTTGAAGACATCTGCGTTGCAAGCCAGGCTGTTTCAGAGTGATGTCACAGTGAGGTTTATTTCTGTTATATAAGTTTCAAAAAAAAAACAAAACCCAAAACAAACAATCACATAAAATAAGCCAGGATGATCCTAAAGGAAATCAGGAATGGGACATGAAAAAACAATTCACCCCTGCCATCTTTTTTCACAATTTTGTTTCATGACAAACTTAATTTCTGGGCATAAGAGCACAGACTCTGGAACCTGGAAAAGCCTGCTAGTTGCTAGTACAAGCTGAAGTACTTAACATCTATGCACCTCAGTTTTCTCATCTGTAAAATGGAAAAAATCATGGTACCCAGACACATGGGGTTCTCAGTAATGAGTAACCTACAGGACTGCCTAACATACAGAAAATGCTGATGTAATTTTAGCTAGGGTGATGATAATGATTTCTTGAAAGCAAAAGTTTGTGCCTTAAGAGGTCCTGAGGATATATTAAAAGGAAAAAGTTCCAAACCTTTTGTTTTTTTTTAAAGCAAGTATCACAGATTTTAAAATACAAAAAAATTTCATAGAGAAGTAAATTAGAGGCCACAATAATAAAGATTCTCTCCTTGACTCCTAGTCTCTTCCAAGTTCTTTTTCAACTAGGCCCTGACTGTTGGGTTTCTCTGTTCATCTCTGCTTTGTTTGGTTTTATGGAGAATCCTGCTTGGATGGTTTAGCCAGAATTCGCCATCCTCCATGACTCATCACCATTTCATCAGGTTCCTTATCCTTCACCATCCCCCAGGAGGTATCTGATCACCCCTGCCTGCCTAAAGCAAGAATCCTGTTAGGCCATTTTAACCAGAATTCCCCTTGCACTCAATGTTTCCTCTTAGTAATTTTTCATACACTGACCACCCCCCACCCTGTTCTTTGGCTATACATTTCTACTTTTCCTTGTTGTATTTGGGGTTGAGCTCAATCTCTCTCCTCCACTGCAAGACCCCACCATCGTGGTCCCTGTGCTACCAAGGTAGTTCCCCCTTGAATAGTCTTCTTTGCCATTTTTACAAGCACCACTGAATAATTTTTTCTTAGACAATAATACTTGTAAAAGTCAACACAAAATATCTGAGAAAATATATTGACAAACAATCTGGCAACACGTAGTATAATAATACATCATGGCCAAGTCTAGTTTATTCCAGAAATGTACCATAAAGAGAAAAAAAATTCACCTATTTCCACAGATACTGAAAAAACATTTGACAAAAATGCATTACCAATTCTTCCTAAGAATTTAATGAAATACTTCCTGATAAAATATATCTTAAAATGTCTGAACCACCTTTGTTAAATGTGCGGGATCCTACACATACATTTCTGTTGAGTAACACTCCTT